GCTACCAGAACTCCCCCTCATTAAGTTAGGGGATGAAAATTTTGTTTTGATCAGCAACTTAACCACTCAATCATTCAAAAAAGTAAATAATTAACAGTCAAGGAGATTTTATATAATTTCAACTCTTCTTTAAATAATAGATATTTTGATCATAATCTGGTCCCAAAAAGTACTACAAAAATGCAAGAAGGTTCTTACATTTATGATAGGAAATAAACTTTATTCAAGCTTCTTTCAAAAACAGCTATACTGTTCAATACAATTTACATATGGCATAGTGTCTAAAGCATTGACTGCTAACCAGAAGGCTAGCAGTTCAATCCCACCAGCCACTCCTCAGAAGGAAGGTTGGGCAATCTACTTCTGTAGTAATACTGCCTCAGAAACCCAAGGAGGGGTCGCTATGAGTCGGATCTGACTCGACAACAGTGGGTTTGGCTTTTTTTTTTTTCTTAACACTTAAAAATAATCATAAACAGTGATTTGTAATAAGAATTTTACCTAGCACATTTCAGAAGCAGATTATAGCATATTTAGGAGGTAAAATATTAAAAAAAAAAAAAAAGGCAAAATGAATGAACAATTAATTAATTGAGTGAGAATCATCTTCTAAACTGAAAAATACATTTATATCCTGATTGTACTTTTTGGTATACCTTGAGACAAGGATTCTCTAAGAGCATCGTTTATAATATAATAGAATTTTAAGAAAAACCCAATATCCTGAAGTACTCTACAAATGCTAAAGTATGAAACAAATCTAAAATAGCTAAGGCTGGGTATATGTGTTGTTGGGTCTACTTGAATAGTGATATGATTAAAACCTTTTTTTAGTGTTTCCGTGATTTATTTCTTTGTAAGAATGGCATTAAAAGAAGAAATTTAATGAAATAAACGTGGGTGTTGTTTACTTACCTCTTTTAATTCCACTGTATGAATTGATCCGATTGTCTACTAGTAAAACCAGGCCACAGAGAGATGTGGAATAAAGTGACAGTGCTGTTTGGAGCCGATGGAGTTTCACACCACTCCGATGATTTCGTTTATGCTTACAGAAGTCAAGCATGTCTGCCCTCAGCAATCTCAAATTATGCATTGTCTTCAACTGGGCTCCTGGAGGTGGGGAACAAGGCCAGAAAGATATTTAGACAGCTGCAAAAATCCAATACAACAAGATGGAAATCTCTATGGCAAGAATCCAGAATCAAAGTTATGCTATAAATAATGATTAAAAACAGGTCCTGCAATTTCCCATTTTAATGACTATCAATCCATAATCCTTCTATTTGCCAAAAATAATTCATAAGCTAAAACAGAAAAGCCAACAAGGTATAGGCTTTCTTGGAGCAGAATATAATTTGAAATTCAAAATAACATGGGTACATCCTACTCCGAGGCTAGCGACTTTTCCCTTACAGCATAAAAAACAAGTGTCATGAATCATAATAAATTATAACTTCAAAAATTAATACACTTACCTAAGTGAATGGTAAAACTTTCTTCTAGCTTTCTCTGTTCTTCATAAATCCTCCCATTTGCTTCTACAGATTCTCTGAACTGACTTGGCTGAACTTTAATTTCTTCACTGAAATCAATAAAAGTTACTGATATGCTTTGTTTGTATGTTTATCAAGAAATTTTTCTTAAAGGAAAGCAAGCTTGATAATAAAATGAGAGAAAACTGAACAGCTGAAAGAGGACTTAATTCATTCCTTAATCCATGGTGACAAGTAAAACCATAAGCACCAACAAGTTCTAAAATTTCCACTTGTTCTTTCCTCACAGTAAGTAATAGATATTAATTCTTCAGCCACTATAATAACAATTTTTTTATCACCATTTAATATTTCCTAATGGATTAAGGGGGAGCTCTGGTAGCCTAGTGCCTAAAGCACTTGACTGCTAACCAGAAGGCTGGCAGTTCAAACCCACCAGCCACTCCTCGGAAGGAAGGTGGGGCAATCTACTTCTGTAGTGATACCGCCTCAGAAACCCAAGGAGGGGTCGTTATGAGTTGCGTCTGACTCGATGGCACATAACAACAACAACAACAACAACAACAACAATGGATTAAGGGAATGATTAAATGAAATGACTAATCTATTACTTTAAAGTCACATTACATTTCAAAACATACATCTGTATCAGAGCAAAATCTTAGACAAAACAGGTACAGGGACAACAATGAAAAATTTTTAAAAAAAGGTAAATAAAATAAAAAATTATGGATAAAGTTCATTTTGATGTATTCACAATTTTTTTTTTTTTTTTTTTTTTACCATTTCTTTTTTCCCTCCCACATTCTCTTGTCATTAAACAATCTCTCTTTTTGCTCTGCCCTGCTCTGCTCTTGCATTCCCTGAAAAGGTTTCCATGGAGACTGCTGTAACAACTGTACAACTAACTGCTCAATTTAAATTTCATGGTATACTAAAGATGATGTGAGTCTACAATAGTCATCCATATCCTTGACTTCAAAGTTTTGGGGTTACTCCAAATAGCCTTATTAGTTTCACCAATTGTCTTCATGAGTAATTATGGTAAATTTAAACTTAAAAATAAATTTATCTTAATAAAATACCTTCATCTTAGGATGTGGAAAGCTGCAAGAGAATGTTGTATCCACCCTAACAGGAAGAAAAAGTGAGATAATCTACAAAAATCATAACTTTCCTTGAGCCCATTAGAGATTTGAGGTAACAAGGTAACCAAGTAAACCAAATTCCAAAGAGTAAAAAGCCTCCCTATGGAGAGACAGGGCACATGAGCAGTTTCTTCTTTGGTAGAGGATGGAAGAAATAGGTGGCTGTCATACAAAGGGGTAAGAAGAAATTCGCTAAAATAGCGACACATTCTTAAAGACCAAGTATGGGCTGGCATGTCAGTTTAGAAGAGCTTGGAGATCCAAGTAAAGCAGGCATTTGCATGAACTCACAAATAAGACTGGAGACAAGGCCAAGCTGAGTGAGCCCCTGCTAGGTGACAAAGGCATACAGGAGGTGATCAGGCGATCAGCTGCTGCTAGGGGACAGGCATGAAGCCCTGCCCACTTCTCTAAACCCTTGTCTCCAGAGAAACAAAATCCTTCAGTTACTGGAGGAGGGGAGACAAACCTCTTCCCTAGGACCCAGACAATAATCTACCAGTTCTGGGGGAGAATTAGGAGCAACATCTGTCTACACTTCCACTCCAAAGACAAGAGGCAAAAAACACATTGCTGCTGAGCTAGGGGTGAAAAAAACAAAAACCCTCTGACCCTCTTGAAAGGGTGGCAAAATTTTCTGGGCCAAAATCCTGCACCAATACCAAGCACAGATCTGCTATTGCTGTAGTAATGTCAGGAAAGTGTCTCCTACTTGAGATCAACTACAGATATGAGAGTTTGTCTGCACAGGAGCATGAGAGGATGGGGTACAGAACACGAAATCCCCCATGCCTGAGGCAGACATACAGGGCACACTTTTAACTAGCCATCCCAGTTTGTGGGAGGCAGCATGTCATTTTTACTACTCAGTAAAATTGCTGTTGTTGTTGTTATGTGCCCTCGAGTTGGACGTGACTCATAGCGACCCCTCCTTGGGTTTCCGAGACAGTATCACTACGGAAGTAGATTGCCCCATCTTCCTTCCGAAGACTTGCTGGTGGGTTTGAACTGCCAGCCCTCTGGTTAGCAGTTCAGTGCCTTAGGCACTATGCTACCAGAGCTCCCTCAATCAGGCAAGAAAAAGAAATAATAGGTACACAAATTGGAAATAAATAAATAAAACTGGTTCTGTTCACAAGATGAAGTAATCGTCTAGATTGAAAATCCCGAAGAATCTACAAAACAGTTACTAGAACTAATAAGTGAGTTTAGCAAGTTTGCAGGATACAAGATGAACATATATTAATCAGTTGTTTTCCTACATACTATTGTGTACTGTTGAGTTGATTCTCATACAGTGAGCCTATATGACAGAGCAGAACTCCTCTATAGAAATTACTAGGCTTTAATCTTTATGGGAGCAGATCATTAGGTCTTTTCTCCCACAGAGCTATGGATGGGTTCGAACCACTGACCTTCCAGTTAGCAGTTACGTGCTTAACCATTGTGCCACCAGGGCTCCCTCCTAAATATTAGCAATGGACCATGGGAAATTAAAATTAAGATCACAGTACCATTTACAATAGCATCCTCCCAAAATTACATACTTAGGTATATATCCAACAAGATATATGTACCACATATGTGCTAAAAACTATAAAACATTGACACTGAATATCAAAAAAGACTTGAAGATAAATACCGTATTAATGGATTGGAAGACTCAATATTAGTAAGACTTTAATTTTCCTCAAATTGATCTACAGATTCAATTCAATCAGAATTATAACCTGCCTTTTTTAAATATATAGATGGTGATGAGCTCATTTTAAATTTATATTGAAAATCAGAAAATGTAGTATGATCAGAACAATTTTGAAAATGAAAAACAAAGTTAGAGGACTTACACTATTTGGTTTCAAGACTGACTTTTAAGCTAAAATAATAAGGATACATATACAAATCAATGGAACTAAATAGGGAGTCTAGAAATTTACCCAATATATAAATGATCAATTGATTTTTGACAAAGATGCCAATATAATTCAATGGAAAAAGGGCAGTCTTATCAACAAATTGGGCTGGAATAAGTGAACATCTATGTGCCAAACAATAAACCTAAACTCTTACCTCACACCATACACAAAAATTAACTCTGAACGTTTCATACATCTACATATAAAACCTAAAACTTTAAAACTTCTAGAAGAACACATAGGAGAAAATCATGATCTTGGATTAAACAGAGATATCTTAAATAAGACACAAACCATTTTAAAAATTGATAAATTGTACTCAAACAAACTTAAAAGCTTCTGTTCTTCAAAAGATACTATTAAACAAATAAAAAGATAAGTCACAGACTAAGAGAAAAATATTTGTAAAACACATTTGATAATGGACTTGTATTCAGAATATATAAAGAACTTTCAAAACTCAATAATAAGAAAACACAAATGAGAGATAAGGATGGAAAATCAGCCAGTAAAAAAATATTCAACATGATTAGCCATCAGGGAAATCCAAAACCTACTGGAATGGCTAAATATCAATACCAAAATGTTAACAAGGGGGTGAAGCATCTGGAACCCTCATATGCTGCTGGTGGGAATGGATAATTCTACAGTCACTTTATTTACTGAGCAGGTCTCATAGGCTGTATCAAGAAGCTGATCATAAACAGTGGAAAAGACAAGACTAGTTTGTATATTATACAAGTACAATGCAATTTTAAAATGTTTATAGCATATACTAGCAAATGCTGGAAATAAGAATGTTATACTGTACTCAATATATTTCCAACTGAATATAGTTTAGGATTTTAAAATATAAAGAAATTCTCAAATATATGAGTATACAACCAGGAAATAATATAGGAAGTGTCAAGCTCTGGGGCAATATGAGAAACACACTTAGGATGTATGGTACCATATAAGCTATGAATTATGAAAGTCCTGCATACTATTGCTGTATTTTGTGTACACTTCTGTACATATCACTCTATACTCTTATTTTTTTATTTCTAGGTTGGTCTCTCTTTCTAGAACATAAGCTCCATAAGGCTCATATTTTATGTTTCTCTGCTTAGAGTTGGGCATTTAGCAGGGATTCAACCAATGTTTATTGCACTGAACAGAAGTCAATTTAAAGGAACAAGAGATAGTACTTAGTGTATTTAGATATATGCTTCTGAGATATTTTAAAAGCTAAGTTCTAGGGAGGAAATCATTATTTTAACCCAAACCAATCAATCCTCACCTCCCAGATAATTCACATAAAGCCTATAATACAAGAGGTGTTATAAGAAACATGAAATTATCTTGAATTTTCATCAGCAACTCAACAATACCTACAATTAAAAGGGTTAAATTTGCAAAAAATACAAACTATTACTAAAAATTAACTTTTGGCTAATATGTACAGTACATGATTAATACCTAAGGGAGCTGTTGTTGGGGTTTTTTAGGTCTTGATGAAGCTTTATCACCCATTCCTGATACTCTTGCTTTTGGATAGCAGTTGATTGCTTTAATTCATTTGTCCATTTATTCTCTAAGTCCTATAAACAGACAGTATGCCAACTGGTTAGTTTTTTTTTTTTTTTTTAATAAAAATAAGTAAGTCAAAGAAAATTTAACTGTACAGCTGAAAGTCAATGTATTTCACTTACTTGTTGGGATTCAAAATGCTGAGCAGCCAGTGAGTTTACATCTTGATCAGTCAATGATTTTCCTAATTCTTGCATCACTTTTTCCATTTCAATACCCTGTCTAAAATATAAATCAGTAGATCATATATATATATTCATAAACCCATCAAGATATATGGTCACTTCAGATTCATTGAACAATCTGTTTTTGTTGTTGTTAGTTGCTGTCAAGTTTATTTGAATGCATGGTGACCCCATACGTACAGAATAGAACTGCTCCATAGAGTTTTCAAGTCTGTGACCTTTCAGAAGCAGGTCAGCAGGGCTGTCTTCCTAGGTACCTCTGGGTAGGTTCAGACTGCCCATCTTTCTGTTACTGAGAGCTTAACTGTCTGCACTACCTAGGGATTCCTTGAATAATCTCTATAAAATGAAGATAAAATTTTTATTTTATAGGAATATGTCCAGGAATGGGGACTATAATATCTGGGAAGCACTCTGAATCCTTGGAAATGGAGATATGGAACTAATGTTAACAATGTCATATACTTACAACAATGTCATCTGTGCAGCCAAATGTTAATCTAAGTTTAATGCAGTTTGGGCATATGAAAAATAAAAATGGAGTTTAAATTACCCTAGCTAATGTTTAAAAATCCAGACCCCTTTCAGCCACAAATTTTCTCAAAGGCCCTCTACAATTCCAACTTAATACATTTTCTACTTATTTCTACATGAGTTACAGTGATTCCAACCTCTGAAAGTTAGTTTATATTATAACCATAAGTTGTCAATTAGGTTCTAAAAAATTTTTATTAACTCACAAAGTTCATTTTACAGAGGAATGCAAAATATATTCTGAAGATGTGTTAGTTTTATCTTCTTCATTTATCCAAAGAACGAATGTGTAACAATTAAAAATGTTTTTCACTACCGGAAAAACTAATTTATGCTGTTAGAAGTTCAGATAATGGTGCATTATGGAAGGAATGGAGTAGTGACCATGAGGACATAAAGGAGACTTTTCTGGGGCTGGGAATATTCTATTTTTAATCTAAGTGATGGTAACATGGATGTGCTCATTTTGTGAAAATGTACTGAGTGGTATACCCTTTTCTGTACATATGCTGTATTTTAATTAATAAAGTCATTTAAAATTTTCAAATTAAAAACTTATCTTCTAATATAAATATTTTAAAAAATTTGCTCTTATATATATTTCAAACAAACTTAGAAAGAACAAAACACAGACATGAACTAAAAGGAATTTATTATCATTCTAGTTAATTTAAGAAATTTTCTCTTAAAGTCAATTTGTATTTATTTATAACAACTGATTAAAATACATACAGGTATATAATCAATGAAACTTGTTCACACAGGTTACACTTTCTAGTATTAAATATTCAGTAACACTGAATCCCCACTTAGTTTTAATGCAGGTCATTCCATTAACTACTTAAGTATTACTTAAGTATTACTACAGGTTAGGTGAAGATTATGCTTGTAAGTGAGATTTTTATTTAGAGAAAGAAATAACTGCAAACATTAATAAATACAAACTTAGATCTAAATATGTATTAATATTTTACATTACATGTGTTCCCTCTAGTGGATAAAAGATACCACTGCCATTTTTAAAATTTAAAGAAATATCTTGAATCTGGTTTGCTCAAAAAAAGCAAGTTTCTAGAGAGGAGAAAAAAAAACTTTAGTAAATAAGAATTCAATAAATAAAATTTCATTAACATTTATTTTACTCTAAATGTGTCAGAAATGCAAGTTAATCATACAGTTAATGATAAAATATATTTTTCCTATGATTAAAATGAAAGGAATTTTTATTCTATTTCATATGAAATATTAAATATATATTGGCTTAATATATCAGGGGTAACAACTCTGTCAAGAAACTTAAAGAAGTATTACCTACCAGGGGGAACACAGCTTACTTTTTATTTTCAAGCTAACAGTTTGGGCATATGAAAAGTACAGTATAAAACTGTTTTAAAAATGATGTGTTCAAATATTACATGTGTTACCTTGCCAAGAAAATCAAGAAGTTTGGCCAAAGGACATTTCAAAAAACAAAATAACCCCTAGTAAAAAACTATTCCACAAATGGAAAAAACAAAACAACAGAAAAAAGTACAGGTAAATACAGATAATTAGTAAATTAATTTAGCTTCTCAAAAAGTAAAGAGTCATGTAGAATAGGAAACATTTCCTGATTCAGAAAAAGGACAATGACGGGAACACTGATACCTGAGAGTCCACACAGAGTTTTCTGGGAGATACAGAGAGTATCTGGGAGGTACAGTGAGTAGGCAGTAGACCAGCTGGCCATCTCTAGTAGCTCACCAGCTGAATGAAAGCACTAGTAATGGCTGTTAACAACAAGTGTGGACAGCCGAGATGGGACTTTATCAATATACCTAAATAGGCAGAATGAATGTAGTCCCAGGAAACCTGAGATCCAAGAACAGCTTCCGAATGAGTTGAAAACTATATTATTTGAATCTCTAGTAGGAAAAACAAATGATGTTCAACAAAAGGTAATAATATTAGGCAATTAATTCTATATTTCTTTTCAAAATATACTCACAATTTACTGGCTACATAATAAAGATCTAGAGGAAAATAAAATTTTTGTCTTCCCTGGTGACACTGCTTCAATTATTTACTTGATAGCAACTACCTATTCTGCAGGCATCACATTTGTAACGGAATAAGTTGCCTCAATATAGCTAGTTGGCAAACCCAGACCTATAAAGAGTGACAAATGTCTCAAAATACTGTTTTCTTTTAGATATAGAGTTCTAACATTTTTACTAGATATGGTGATAAAAGGTCTAGAGTAGTGTAATTATTATGAAACTCTACAAATCTATCCAATACAATAAAAATGCCTATCTGGTACATAGGTGTTCTGGTGACGTTGTGCCTAAGGCACTTGACTGCTAACCAGAAGGCTGGAGGTTCAAACCCACCAGCTACTCCTTGGAAGGAAGGTTGGGGAATCTACTTCCATAGTGATACCGCCTCAGAAAACCAAGGAGAGGTCGCTATGAGTCGGATTTGACTTGATGACAGTGAGTTTGGTTAGGTTTTTTATCTGGTACAGAGTATCCATCAGCAAAAATTATTAAATCTGTTTGATTGTCTTTTTTTTTTTTTTTTCTAAATTTTAACTTTTGTTAACTATGGCAGCTCCACAAGGAGCTCTGGCAGTGTATGCCTAAGGCATTTGACTGCTAACCAGAAAGTTGGCAGTTCAAACCCACCAGCCATCCGTGGAAGGAAGGCTGGGCAATCTACTTACTGTTGTAAGATTTACCACCTCAGAAACCCAAAGGGGACTACTTTGAGTGGACTCAATGGCAGTGAGTTTGGTTTTTCTTTTTTTTTTTTGGATGGTAGCTCCACATCAGATAGATTAATCAGATGTCTTATGACACTGGGCAATTCTGCTGTAAAAGAACTCTTTTAAAGTCTTTAACAGCAAAGATGTAACTCTGAAAACTAAGGTGCACCTAACCCAAGCCATGGTATTTTCAATTGCCTTATATGCATGTGAAAGCTGGACAATTAATAAGAAAGATGGAAGAAGAGTTAATACCTTTGAATTACAGTGTTGGTGAAGAAGACTAAAAACACCATGGACTGCCAGAAGAACTAACAAATCTGTACCGGAAGGAGTGCAGCCGGAATCTCCTTGGAAGTGAGAATAGCCAGACTTCATCTCACCTACTTTGGTCATGTCAGAAGGGACTATTCCCTGGAGAAGGATATCATGCTTGGTAAAGTTGAGGGTCAGCGAAAAACAGAAAGACCCTCAACGAGATGGACTGACACACTGGCTGCAACGATGGGCTCAAGTATGTTGCTGTTGTTGTTGTATGTGCCGTCAAGTCAGACCCAACTCATAGCGACCCCTCCTTGGGTTTCCGAGGCAGTATCACTATGGAAGTAGATTGCCCCATCTTCCTTCTGAGGAGTGGCTGGTGGGTTTGAACCACTAGCCTTCTGGTTAGCAGTCAAGTGCCTTAGGCACTATGCTACCAGGGCTCAAGTATAGAAAAGATTATTGAGAATGGTTCAGGGCTGGGCAATGTTTCATTCTGTTGTACATAGGGTCACTACGAGCTGCAGCTGTCTGGACGGCACATTACAACAACAGTAGTTTTCTAATGGGAAATTGACAACCAGGAGCAAATTAAAATTAGCACATCAGTTAAAATTTACTTCTTTGTGATGATTAAATCAGTCACAAAAAATAAATGTGGTTTGGCCCTAATATACCATCACAATTAATGAAATTTTACATCAGCAACACTGAAAAACTTACCTTGATGTCATGTATACCCAAAGTCTTAAACAAATGTTCTTAAGGTAATAAATGTTATTATGTAATATGAAAACAGATTACCTAGAAGAAGGAGTGTGCCCTGAATTAAAACTACAATTTATAGTATTGCTAGGAGGCAGCCTGAAAAGCCATGCTTTAAAATAAATGCTAGCAATGTTACTGCGCTGAAGAAAAAAACAAATCATAAAGTATTGTTTGTGTACTATCTTAAGTAATCCATACAAAATGAATCCAAATCTAATTAAAATTTCTTATAATAATGTTAGTGTCATTTTCCTTCTAAAGTAATAGCTTAGAAAATGAACTGAAAGAGACTATGGACTTAATTACACAGCAGAGTAACAATAGATACTGAACAGGGAGACATGCAGTGTAGTTAACAGCTTTGGAATCAGACTGTTTCAAGTTCCAGCTTGTCCCTATACAAGTTATTTTAACTTTTCTAGCCTCAGTTTCCTTATCTGCAAAATGGGAATAACAATAGAAGGATTGTAGTGAAAATCAAATGACAGAGGGCATCCAGGGCATTTTGCACAGTGCCTGTAACTAAGCAAGCCTTCAACAGATCTAAGTTATTCTTCTTATTAGAAATAAGAATATATAAGGCCAGCATAATTCACTTCAGGAAAATCATTTGTAAAGTTCTATAACTCTATGATGAATTCAGTTGACATTACAAATTTAAACATCATAAAATTACTTACTATTACTAAAGGTTTTTCTATTTTATTCTTTAATTTTACTGAAAATGAAAACAAATTGTTCTGCAGGCCATCATATTTAACAATGTAACAAATTATTTATGATATTACAGGAAATTGGAAATACCTCTCTCGTAATTTTTTCAGCTCCACATCTCGTTCACCAATCAGTTCTGAGATACTAACAAAGTAATTATGTTCCAAATTTAGGAGCGTTTCAGAGGCAGGGGAATGGATTAGGTCATGGTACACATCTGCAAAATCTTCATCCCAGCTGGGCTCTTCAGGCCTTGCATGCTCTAATGTGGTCTACAAGATACACAGGCATTCTTATATCATAATACAGTCTTTTTATGTAATGTATTATTAGAAAAAGACACATAGCAGGATCCTAATTCTGTATATCAATCATGGACAGAAAGGCCATATATATGTATCACACAGGATTATGTGAGTATAGAAAAACCATGGGAAGATATAAACGAAGCTGTTAATATGAGTTATCGCAGGGACAGGGATGAAGGTGAGTTGCTAAGTGGAGGCAACGATAGGAAGTGTTCTCAATTTTAAAAAGTAAGTATGCCATGATCTTATTTCTGTAAAATAAGACACACACACACACACACATGGTCAACAAAATGACAACAGTTGATATTTCAGGGCAGTGGGATTTCTGATAATCTTACTTTCTTGATATTTTAATGTATAATACAGTAATTTGCATGTGTTATCATATAATATGAAAAAAACCTTTTCATTATTAAAAAATACTTCCTAAAAAAAGATTCTATTTATTTAGAAAATGAGGTCATATGTATGACTGTATGTGGTGATACAATGACCGTGAAAATTCATTTCAAGTATGTTGTTGTTAGTTCCTGACTCATGTCAACCCCGTGTGTGAACTGCTCCATAGGGTTTTCTTGGCTGTAATCTTAACAGAAACATATTTCCAGGCCTTTATTTCTGTGATACTACTGGATGGGTTCGAACCACCAACCTTTATGTTAGCAGTCAAGTACAAGGATTTCTATATCAAGGTAAGTGTGCAATTTTCTTATTTTGACCTTTTCTAGTATTCTGCTTTTCTTTTTCTTTTTAATGTAACCATGTTTTTTATAAGTATGAGAATAGTAGACACCAAAATGATAAAGAGACTAAGTAAGAACTGATTTCCCATTGTTTACACAAAATCAGTCTAGGAGAGGTTTGCTTTCAGATCTTACAATGAAATGAAATAAAGCCTAGAGAAGGGATTGTTTCTTCAAGGACCCTTCCTTGATCACTTCTTCCTTCCCCCCTTCTCTTTGTCCTCCCACAGTATGTGCCTCTATCCTAAAAAAAATTTTACTGTGTTATAATAGTCTGTGGATTTCTTTGTCCTCCACTCAACTTAAGCTCCCTGAGGGCAGAACTTATTCTTAACTATACTCAGCCCATTTTGGAGGTACAAAAAATGCTGGTTGAATAAATGACGTAGAATTATTCTTTTAATACATTTTACAGCTTTATTCCTTTTTTTAGCATAAAGATGCCCTTTAAGGATTATAATTATTACAGATATATTTTAATGTAATAAGTGTGTTTTTAAACATTTAAATTAAAATGTATAAATTCTTTCATATTTTAAATGAATTAGGAAACTGTTCTGGCCATGCAGCAAACTGAAAATTTTGAAAGGAAATTGGTTTCTTTCAAATTCTAACAGACTGAATTTGCTTAGAGTGGGGTGTAATTTATTCATGACGGTTTGAAATTATAAACTTATTTGTCTGTTTACATAATTCTGTACCTAGCTCCCTAATGAAAATATAAATATTCTTGTTCACTGTTTTATGCTCAATATCTCCTATAATACCTGGCATAAAGCAGATGCTCACCATATTATCTCTCATTAATTCTAAGATGCATATTTTTTTCAAATTACAAGTCTCAGAAATCGGCATACATCTTATACTTGATGGAATTCTGGCATTCCATAATAGTTTAATTGGTAGTGTTTTCTTTTTAGTAGTAAATAAAATGTGTGTGCTACATCCTATGGCATCTTGTTGCTGTGTGAGCAGAATCAATTCTGACCCACAGTGACCCTACAGTGACCCTGTAGGACAGAGTAGAACTGCCTCCTAGAGTTTTCTAGGCCGTAATCTAGAAAAGACCTGCAGGTCATCAGGCCTTTTTTCCCATGGGTGCAAACTGGTGACCTTTTGGTTAGCAACCAAGCACTTAACCACTGTGCTACCAGGGCTCCTTATGGCATCTTGCTATGTGCTGTCAAGTCGGACCCGACTCATAGTGACTCCTCCTTGGGTTTCTGAGGTGGTATCACTATGGAAGTAGATTGCCCAACTTTCCTTCCGAGGAGTGGCTGGTGGGGTTGAACCGCCAGCCTTCTGGCTAGCAGTCAAGTGCCTTAGGTACTATGCTAGCAGAGCTCCTTATGGCATCTTAGACTTTATGAAACACAGTATCATTTAAATGAAAGAATGATGATTTTTGTAACTGTATTAAAACAATGAAGGTAAGGGAGAGGAAAAAAGTAGACCAAATCTTAAATTGAAGTACTACTGCTGACTTATGGTTGCCAGATAAAATACAGTACACATATTTAAATCAGAATTTCAGGTAAACAATTTTTTTTTAATTATAATTACTTACTGGCTTATCCTAAGCAAAATTATTCTTTTTCTAATCTGACATTCTAATTTAACTGGATATCTTTTATTTTTATTCTTTTTATTTGCTAAATCTGGCAACCTTACACTAGTTATAAATACAAAATACCCTTTCATTTTACAAAAGTGTAAGTGCAGTGAATTACTTAGTATGACTCTTCTAGCCATGGTCTTTGTGACTTCAACCAGATGACTGGGTGGGACTATACTAATATAGGATGTCTGTGGCCCACTCAACAGGATAATGTAAATGGGGTACATGGCACCCTTTTGGGGGTGGGATCATGAAAACAGCACATATGGAACCCTAACATGGCTTAAAATGAGTCATCCTAGAGGCAGCAAAGGGTGATCTAACTATCATCAAGAAAGTAGAGCCAGGAGTGAGGGCAGTGAGTCCTTGGCCCCAAGATCTCTGCACTGAGACAACAGAGAGACGGTGGCAGGAGAGGCAGTAGAACCAAGAAACTGACATAAGACAGAATGGTGGGCTTCTTGGCACATGGAACAAGAAAGCCGAGTGCCTTCAGGTAGGAGGCTTGCTGGCCGAGCTGGGTGCTTCTCTGGGCTTATCATCAGAGCTAAAAGAGTTTTGTAACACTTACCAGAGCAGAGCAAAGGCCAGGCCAAGGAGCCTAGGGTCAAAGAGAAGTGTGGCTATGGATATGGCTACAATGAGGCTGTCCTGATTGAAGGATTGTATCCTGAGTGTCCCTAAACCTGAGTGTAACCTGTTATTTCTCTAATAAACCCCATAATTGTGAGGACTGTCTGAGTTCTGTGTGGCCATTGCAATGAACTATTGAATCCAGCAGAGAAGCACAGAGTGCTGTGGGAGGGATGGTTGGTGTCAGATAGTAAAAAAGGCTGGAGGGTGGTAGCATGTCTGACCTCATAGGAATCAGCCTTGGGCTATTACTATTGATTTTGCTCCTCCTCCCCCTAGTGAAGTTGGAGGAGGTCAGGTGATGCCACTCCTGTGCCCTTTTTGCAAAAGGTATTACATAAAATATTTTGTCTTATTTGTTGTTCTTTACATAGGAAGGAATCACAGAAGCAGTAACATGTTGTTGTTAGGTGCCATTGAGTTGGCTCCAAATCATAGCATCAACTCCTCTTCAGTCTTCCTTATTCATTGTCCAGCTTTCACATACGTATGAGGTGACTGAAAATACCATGGCTTGGGTTAGTCACACCTTAGTCTTCAAATAGACATCTTTGCTTTTCAGCACTTTAAAGAGGTCTTTTGCAGCAGTATTTGCCCAGTGCAATACATCGCCTGGTGTCTTGACTGATGCTTCCATTGGTGTTGACTGTGGAACCGAGTAATATGACAACTTCAATCTTCTCTCCATTTATCGAGATGCTGCTTATTGATCCAGTTGTGAGGATTTTAATTTTATGTTGAGATGTAATCCATACTGCAGACCGAAGTCTTTAATCTACATCAGTAAGTGCATGTCACAGGTTGTTAACGAGTCTTCCTCCAATCCTGATGCTGCATTCCTCTTCATATAGACCAGCTTTTCAGATTATTTCCTCAGCATACAGACTGAATAAGAATGGTGAAAGGATACAACCCTGACGCACTTCCTTCCTGATTTTAAACCATGCAGTATCCCCTTTTTCAGTCTGAACGACAGCCTCCTGGTCTATGCACAGCTTCCTTATAAGCACAATTAAGTGTTCTGAAATTCCTATCCTTTGCAATGTTGTCCACAATTTGTTAGATCCACATAGTCGAATGCTTTTGCATAATCAATAAAACACAAGTAAATATCTTTCTGGTATTCTTTGCTTTCAGCCAAGATCCATCTGACATCAACAATGATATCCCTCATTCCATGCCCTCTTCTGAATCCAGCTTGCATTTCTGGAAGTTCTCTGTCAATATGCTGCTGCAACCATTTTAGAATTACCTTCAGAAAAATTTTACTTGCATATGATATTAATGATATTCTTCGATAATTTCCACATTCTGTGGGATCACCTTTCTTTGGAATGGGTACAAATATGGATCTCTTCAAGTCAGTTGGCCAAGTAGCTGTCTTCCAAATTTCTTCGCATAGACAAGTAAGTACCTCCAGCACAGCATCCATTTGTTGACACATCTCAATGGGTTTCCCATCAGTTCCTGGAGCCTTGTTTTTGCCACTTCCTTCAGTGCAGCTTCAACTTCTTCCTTCTATACCATTGGTTCTTGATGATCATATGCCACCTTATGAAATAGATGAACATCGACCAATTCTTTTTGGTACACTGACTGTGTATTCCTTTTGTTTTGGTTACCTAGTGCCACTCTGACAACAATATACCACAAATGGGATGGCTTGAACAAACAAGAGTTTACTCTCTTACAGTTTAGAGGCTTTAAGTCCGAGTTCAAAGTCCCAGCCTCTAAGGGCTGGGTGAAAGCCCCTCAACCTTGGGCTTCAGGTCTGCTTCCTGCTCGCAGCCCACTGAAGCTAGAGGCTTTGCTTTACTCAGATAGCTGCTGACTGCTGAGGCTGACAAGCCCAAAGTTGACAAGTAAAAAGGCACAGTTCCGATGTTACCCAACCACATGGCAGGCCATTCATTCAAGTCCATTGAAAGTCTCAAGGTCGGCAGAGCATGGCAGGCTGTTGAACAATGACATGGCTATGTGCAGGGTTTAAATGTGCCATAAGCTAGAGACTGTTCCCCAAGGCTTCTCCTTATATATAGGAAGCAGACCACATCCCTAAGGCAGTTACTTACATCACAGTAGATCCCACCATGGAGCTGATTACCAGGTCTCATCATGGGGAATACTACATCCAGCTTCCCAGACACTCAACCAGCCCAGCCAAGTTGACACACAAACTTAACTACCACACCTTGCATCTGCTTCTGATGTTTCCTGCATCATTCAATATTTTGCCCATAAAATCTTTCAATATTGCAACACAAGGCTTGAATTTTTTCCTCAGTTCTTCCAGCCTGAGAAATGCTGAGCATGTTCTTCCGTTTTGGTTTTCTAATGCCAGGTCTTTGCACATTTCAATATAATAATCAACTTCATCTTCTTGAGATGCTTATTGAAATCTTATGTTCAGTTCTTTTATCTTGTAATTTTTTCCATTTGCTTTAGTTACTCTCCATTCAAGAGCAAGTTTCCAAGTCTCTTCTGACACCCATTTTGGCCCTTTCTTCCTTTCCTGTCTTTTTAATGACCCTTTGCTTTCTTTGTGGATGATGTTCTTGATGTCATCCCACAATTCATCTGGTTTTTGGTCACTGGTGTTCAATATGTCAAATCTATTCTTTAGACAGTCTCTACATTCAGGTGGGATATAATCAAGGTCATATTTTGGGTCTCATGGACTTGTTTTAATTGTCTTCATGTTCAACTTGACCTTGCATATGAGCAGTTGATGGTCTGTTTCCTAGTCAGCTCTTGGCCTTGTTTTGGCTATAGATATTGAGCTTCTCCATCACCTCTTTGCATAGATGTAGTTGATTTGATTTCTGTGTGTTCCATCTGGCAAAGTCCATGTGTATAGCCACTGTTTATGTTGTTGCAAAAAGGTATTTGTAACGAATAAGTTATTACTCTTGCAAAATCTATCATGAGATCTCCAGCGTCACTTCTATCTGCCATGTTTTCTAATACTGGTGATTCTTCTTTGTTTCCAACTTTTGCATTCCAATCACCAGTGATAATCAACACATCTTTATTGCATGTTCTGTCAATTTCAGACCGCAAAAGTTGGTAAAAATCTTCAATTTCCTCATTTTTGGTTTGGTGGTTGGTGCATAAATTTGATTAACAATAGTATTAACTGGTCTTCCCTGTAGGTGTATAGATATTATCCTATCACTGACAGCATTGTACTTTAGGATAGATCTTGAAAAATTCTTTGTGATGATAAATGTCACACCATTCCTCTTCAATTTGTCATTCCCAGCATAGCAGATCATATGGTTGTCTGAACCAAAATGGCCAAAACCAGTTCATTTCAGCTCACTTATGCCTAGGATATCAATCTTTGTGTGTTCTGCTTCATTTTTGACAACTTCCAATTTTCCTCATTTCATACTTTGTACATTCCACGTTCTGATTATCAGTGGATATTTGCAGCTGTTTCTTCCCATTTTGAGTCATGCCTCATCAGCAAATGGAGGTCCTGAAAGCTTTATTCCATCCACGTCATTAAGGTCGACTCTAATTTGAGGAGGCAACTCTTCTCCAGTTGTATTTTGAGTGCCTTCCGACCTGAGGGGCTCATCTTCCAGTACTATACTGGACAAAGTTTCAGGGCTATTCATAAAGTTTTCCAGTACTATGTCAGACAGTGTATCACTGCTGTTCATAAGGTTTCCAGTGGCCAACTCTGAGAAGTGGATGGTCCCTTCCTTCTTCTGTCTTAGTCTAGAAGCTCCACTGAAACCTGTTTGCCATTGGTGACCCTGCTGGTATTTGAAATACAGTGGCATAACCTCCAGCCTCACAGCAACATGCAAGCCACCACAGTACAACAAACTGACAGATGAGTGGTGGTAACATGTACTATACATTATATATAAATTTTGATATGTAGAGGAAAATCCTACAATTATTTCAGTATTACTTTAGACATTTAAAAATTTTCATCAAAGTCCAGAATATTCTTGAAATTTACAATTGGATCTATTTTCTTACCTCAGCATAAACTTTGGCCCATGTACTTGCCAGCTGATGTAAATCTACTTCTCCTGATTTCACAGCTTCTAGTGATGCTTCTGCATCTCTATCATAATCTCTGAGGGATTCTTCTTCTATAAACTGGCTCAGGGCTTCTTTTAAATCTGCAGCACGGACAACAAATGCTATCATCAGCAAAATCCAGACATAAATAGAGAACATTTTCCCTGGCTAAGCATTCCAAGGCGAAATTTTATTTTATCAAACTTACCCTTAATAGAAGGTCCAGCTAAAATAAAATCAGCTTAAGGAATTACTTAACTAATTTTATAATTATTTTTCTTTACTGTTACAGGTTAAGGAGCTGGGGTAGTGCAATAGTTAAGGCGTTTGGCTGCTAACCAAAAAGTCGGTGATTTGAACAACCAGCTGCTCCTCAGAAGAAAGATGGGTTCACTCTGCTTCCATAAGGATTTATAGTCTTGGAAACCCAATGGAGGTCACTAAGAGCTGGAATCAAACTGATGGCAGTGAGTTTGGTTTGCATTTTTATTATAGGTTAGTACATGAAGAAAAGTCAAAATTATTAACTCTTAAGTATAACCTTGATACCAACTAAGTAATACTTTCTTATGTTTGATTCTTCAGTTTAAAAATGAGTATGTATAGCACATTTTTAAAAAAAACTTTCTATAGACTTTGAGGATCTGATGGTTACTATATTTAAGTGAAAGAGAGTTTCCTATATAACTTTTATGGATATATTGTTATTTTCTTTGAATTTAAAAGAAATTGAATGATTAGAATATTACCAGCTTAATTAAAATGATATACTATTCCAATTTTAAAGATACTACTTATATATTGATATAATGAAAAGGGAACTATGATAGAAGTTAGACACCTGTGTTCTGGCCTCAACTGTCACCGTATCTGTGACTTTAGGCCAGTGATTCTCAGTCATTGGTGTGCATCAAACTCCCTTGGAAGGCTTTATAAAGCAGCTAGCTTGGTGTTACCCCCAGAATTTGATTCAGTAGGAATGGGGTGAGGGCCTGAAAATTTGCATTTCTGACAAGTTCTCAGGTAATTCTGCTGCTGCTGGTCAAGAATCACATTTTGAGAATCACTACCTCTTGATGTCCCAGTTTCCTTGCTGTACATTGAGACTGTGTTAGAAAATGTCTACGCTCCCTTGTAACTCCAGCCTTCTATGATCCAACATATTCTCAATTTAAATTTTTTTTTTTTCTCATCTGTGAAACTGAACATAGATTTTTCTTCAAAAAACTGGTTAAATACAGATGTCTTTATGGACTTAATTCAAGTAACCAAAGCTTACTCCAAGATTACTACTCCTTCTCTTTCAAAAAAAATTGGTTAAATACAGATGTCTTTATGGACTTAATTCAGGTAACCAAAGCTTATTCCAAGATTACTACTCCTTCTCTTTCAAGACATCTCAGGAACTGATGACCAGATCATTAAGAGGTGCAACCAATTGAGCAGTATAATTCTGTACCATAAGTAGTGATACCTGAAATGCTTTATGAACCCACCCACCTAAATTCAGAGTTAAAAGTGTTAATCAAGACTTTGTCACTAATGTTTCATTATATAATTTAATTTTTGTAGTCAACTTTTTCATAAATACCTACAAGGGCTAATGGGGGAAAAATTCAATGAAACAAATAGCTGTTGTTCTTGTTGTTGTTAGGTGCCATTGAGTCAGCTCCAACTCATAGTGACCCTATTATGTACAATAGTACGAAACACCACCCGGTCCTGTGCCAGCCTCACAATCCTAGCTATACCTGAGCTCATCATTGCAGCCACTGTGTCAATCCATCTCATTGAGGGCCTTCCCCTTTTTCACTGACCCTCTACTTTACCAAGCATGGTATCCTTCTCCAGGGAATGGTCCCTTCTGACAACATGACCAAAGACAAATAGCTAGGGAAACAAAAAGCAAATAGCTAGGGAACTTTTTAATTCTTGGAAGGCAAGTAATTAAACAAACACCTCAAATTTTATGAATGTTTCTAATGCTTCTTAGGTTTATACTTTCCAACCTAAAAGTTCTAATGACAGGGAATATAGGAAAATAACGAAGTAGTGCCTAAGGCACTTGACTGCTAACCAGAAGGCTGGCAGTTCAAACCCACCAGCCACTCCTTGGAAGGAAGGTTGGGCAATCTACTTCCGTAGTGATACTGCCTTGGCAACCCAAGGAGAGGTCGCTATGAGTCGGGTCCAACTCAACGGCACATAACAACAACAACAACATTACTTGAAAAATCAGTTCTCACCATTTTCTATGAAGCACGGTAAATTGTGCAGCAGCATCAGTCGTCCATGCAAATGACTGGCATCCTCTTCAACAGGAAATTTGAGGGGCACCTTCAGTTCTAAGCATTGACTTCCTACTTTAAATTTATATACAAATTCCCTCTCTCTGTTGCAGAATCTTTCTCTGTTCTTCTTCATCTTCTTTGGCAAGGTTTCTACAGAACCAACAAAAGAGTTACAAGGTATATAAATCTACAAAAAAATCACAGTTTTATTTTAGTTTAGTTTATTACTGTACCATTTCTAAGAAAGAGCTCCATCATTCAGAGATTTTTACTTGTGTGACTCTGTGCCAACTACTCTAGTTTTTCCCACATGTTTATTCCTGCATGTTCATCTTTGTAAGGGGAGAAAAAAAGTATTTTTCTCTATAGAAATACTAAGCACTGCTTTAAAACTTCAATTAAGGAAAAAAAAAAAAAAGATGCCCATAAAATACTCTGCAATTGTAGGCAGTGTTCTCAAGAATAGGGAAGGAACATAGAGAAGTACAAGAGAGGATTCTTAAGAAGAGATGCCTAAGGGGCAGACACAGAGCTTACGGAACACCTGGTTAATGTAGTCAGAGAAACAGATCAGAGACCAAGAAGTGATCTCGGAGATCCTCGATGTTGTGAGTATCAGATCTGATTTGGGAGGTTGGGAAGGAGATATACAGAAAACAGAAAATATAGGACCCCTCAAAGGGAAACTGGATGCCATGCAAAAAGAAGAAAATCTAGTTAAAGGTAGTAAGGATCAACATCAATTACAGATTTATTCATCAGACTCCTAATGAACGTTGTCTTCAGGCTTTTCCCCATCAGATGGGTTGTCACATGCTGTTCCGTACACTTAAGTCATAATACTTTTTCTAAAGTACTATTTAATCATGTTGCTCATCTGCCTAAAACCCTTCTATGGCATTCCATTCCCCTCAGGGTAAAATTCAAACTCCTTGACCCAGTTTACAATGCCTCAGTTTATACTTCAGACTTCTTTCAGCATCTCTGCCTTCTGTACAGACCACACACAAATTCACCAACTTTATCTTTTTGGCCATGTTGAACTTCTTCCAACACCAAACTTTTCTTTCCGTTCCCAACCTTTTTTTTTAAAAAAAAATGTATTTTCCTTTCCCTGAAGCACTCTTACTGCTCTTCTTTCCTTGGTTAACCATTACTCAATCTCCAGGTGTCAGCTTAGATATTCTCCAGGAAGCCTTCTCTAACTATACAGAGAATTTTTTTGGGGGGGGGGGCGGGGGAGGGAGAGAGGGAGGCTGATGACTTGATTTTTTTATCCAAGCTATTTTCTCAAATCTGCATATAGCCTGTATACAAAAGCTTAGACTGCTAATTTCACCATAATGCAAAGAGATGGAGTATTTGTTTCATTCACAGAATTAGTTAGCTGACATTTTTTAGAAGTGAAGCAATGGAAATTGGCACAATTACATTGGAAGAGTGCCAATAACTTTAAAGCTAAAGGTATTTCTACCTTATGATTCAGACATTCCACTCTTAAACATATAGCCAAATATAAATACATGTAATTGAATATGTACATTTTTCATATTTAACACATCCATATAAATAATGGGCATGCATACATAATGCATATAATGCACATAGGGAGCTAACTCATGAGGGGGCTTCACAGTTTGCAAAAACTGTATAATGCATGCATTATTTGTATAAACATATATATTCTATGTGTTTTTTGTATACCATATACACATAAAATTTCTAAGGAGAATAAGGTGTAACTTATGCTGCTGCACAATTTTTATATATACCTTAAGATATATGGACAGCATAAGATACACATATACCAAAATACACATAGAAGAATATTTATTGCACATTTATTTATAAAAGACAAAAACTGGAAACAAAGCAAATGCTTATCAACAGGAGAATGGTAAATTATGGTTTATTCATACAGTTGAATACTATCTACCAATAAAAAAATGAACCACTCACTTATAAATACAACAATATCAGTAACTCTCACAGAGATACTGAGCAAAAGAGGGCAGACACAAAAGAGTACATATATTGTATGTTTCCATTTATACACAGTTCAGGCAAAATTAATTGACAATGTTAGAAGTCAGAATAGTCCCACTAGAGTGGGAGGTGTTGATTGGGAAGGGGTTTCAGGGACTTTTATGGGGTGCTGGAAAATTCTTTACATATTAACCTAGTTGGTAGTTACATGGGCATATGCATTATGTAAAAATTCACCAAGCCCTTTACGTAAGACTTTCTTTTCACACTTTAATAAATGTATTTCCTAATGCAAAGAGAGAGGGGGTGGGGAAGGGAAATGGCTTTCACTCTACTGAAGAGTCACAAAAGAAATGGTTAAGGTTTTCCATTTAGACTTTACAAAGAAAAGATGAAACAACATGTGAAAATACATAAGGGCTAAACTATATAAATTATTAACTAAAAATTATGACTCTACTGTATATATATGTAGTAAAAAAAAAAAAAGTAGTTCATGTGAACAGGAAGGATCACATTAGAAAGCTCTGTGGTGTTCAATATCCAGCTATGTGCTGACGGGAAGTTTTTAACCTCAGCCAATGAGGAAGAGAATAATACATAAATGAGATATTCCCGGGACTCTGTGTGGCCTCATTATCTCTGGTCTGGATTATATTTAACAGCTTAACTGATTTCCTTGCTGTCAATGGACCAACTTTTCCTATCCACTTAAAACTCCCGTAAATTTCCCCACTGCCGCCTCCCCTAGATTTCCGAACATAGCATACAAGGCCCTCAATAACTTAATCCCTATTTACAGCTCCAGCTTCAACTCTAACATGTCCTCATCAAACTGTGAGCACCCTGAAAACAAGGGCTGGGTCTTACCAATAGTTGAACCACAGTTCCTGACATAATGCGCACAGACTTGAGCCAAATATTTGTTGTATGGATCTTTAACTCAGTAATTCTAAATACAGTAGTTCAAATTCTGATTCTGCCATTCACTTGCCACCTGATCAACTGTCACTTGGAGACTTAACTCACAGAATTGTCAAAAGGATTAGTCATATAACAAATACAAAACATCTGAAAAATATGATCAATAAATGGAAGCTAGTAATAAAATATGCTATCTAGGAACATATCAGTAGAAAAATAACAGTCCACTAATTGAGTGTACATGATGAAGGCAAAGGCAGTAAAGAAACGTGGCAATGACTTGAACGTTGTAGAAATAATGGGTTTATGGTCTAATCTTGTTCAGATTCAATACTTCCAGTAAACAAACACCATTCGCTCTGGTTTCAATCGATTCAACACTTAGATTTATTGAGGTTCAGTAAATTGATACGTTAGTTCTCCTCCCATTCCATACCTTCTAGGAAGGTTCCGGTACAAAAATGGAGTGGGAGGGCTGGACCTAGCTCATTCAGCCAATAGAATGAAAGATATGAGGCTCAAACTAGTAAGGGAAAGGGAAGGTAGGGTGCCTGGCCGAAAAGCTCCAGGCGAGGGAAGGGACCAGCTCCTCTGTTAGGTAGTCTCAGTCTAAAGCGGTCCCTCGTTCTTGGTTCTGGGCTCACCTCTCCTAGTTCCAAAGTCCCGAGCGATCCGCACACTCGGAGCTGTCAACCAGTAGCTGCACCAGAGACATCAGCTGACCTATGGACCTCTTTTCACAGCCAGCAGATTCGCCACAAGAGATTCGCCCACAACTTTTCCTCTTTCCTGGGACCTTGTGGAAAACCCGTTGGTCTAAGCTCTCCTTGTATCTTAATGGATCAAGTGAATCGTATAAATATATAGAAAGATGTTTTTATAAATTTTTTTAGTTTTCCAAAGACGGCACAAAAACCATTGTTGTGACGAAAGTGCAGAGGAAAAGCATAATTTCCGCTCTGTTTGCCCGACTGCGGAAGAGCAATCGCCTTGGGCAGGGCGTCCGCAGAACGCATGCGCTCCCACAAGGATGGCTGGGAGTGATTGGAGGACGGCGGCCGGTGGGCGTAGAGCTGGACGTTTGGTTTTGGGCGGGAATTGAAACTGCTGTTGCTGCCTGGGACACATTGAAAGTTGCAAATTTTCAGCCTTTAAGAGGACTAAGATGCGGCCTGTGCGGTGAGTAGTTAATGACATGCTGCGGGGTTTGGGAAAAAGGAAAAGAAGACACTGTAGGCACTTTAAGGAGCTCTGGCAACTCACTGGCTATAGCATTCAGTTGCTAACCAAAAGGTCGGGGGCTGGAACCCAACAGCCACTTCTAGGGAGAAAGATGTGGCAATCTGCTTCCGTAAAAATGTGTTGTTGTTAGGTGCCGTGGAGTCGTCTCCGACTCATAGCGACCTTATGTACAACAAAACGACACACTGCCGGTCCTGTGCCAGCCTCATGATCCCATTGTTGCAGCCACTGTGTCAATCCATCTTGTTGATGGCCTTCCCCCTCTCCTTGACCCTTCACTTTACCAATCATGATATCCTTCTCTAGAGAATGATGACTTTGACAACATGACCAAATTAGGTGAAGCCTGGCTATTCTTGCTTGCAAGAAGCATTATGGCTACACTTCTTCCAGGACAAATTTGTTAGTTCTTTTAGCAGCCCATGGTACTTTTGGCATTCTTCCCCAACACCACAACTCAAAAGCATCAACTCTTCTTCAGTCTTCCTTATTCGTTGTCCAGCTCTCACATGCATATGAGACAATTGAAAATACCACGGCTTGGGCTAGGTGCACCTTAGTCTTCAAGGAGATGTCGTTGCTCTTCAGCACTTGAAAGAGGTCTTTTGCAGCAGATTTGCCGCAAAGATTTACAGCCTTGGAAACTCTATGGGGCAATTCTGCTCTGTCCTGAAGAGTCATCATGAGTTGGAATCGACTCCATGGTAGTAGGTGGGTAGGCAACTTTACCTACACAGGATTGAGGGGAAAGGGCCGAGTAGGACGGAGGGTGCGGATGGTGGGAATGGGATGGATGGTTAGAGGTCAGGCCCTGTTGTGAAGAAATTCTCCAGTCTCTACTCATTCCTCAGAAATATACTAGTATAACATCCTTTTCCCTCTTTTCACAGGTATTGCCATTTCTTTTACCCAGCACATTCAAACAAGACCTTGTTAACGTTTGAACAGTGCTTTACCTTTCACTGAGCGCCTGCTACTTCTGTGTTATTCCATTTGTTCATCATCACTATAGTTCTTTAATATAGAAATGTTGTTGTTGTTGTCGTTGTTGTTATGTGTGACTCATAGCAACCCCTCCTTGGGTTTCCGAGGCAGTAGCACTATGGAAGTAGATTGCCTCATCTTCCTTCCGAGGCGTGGCTGGTGGGTTTGAACCGCCAGCCTTCTGATTAGCAGTCAAATGCCTTAGGCACTACGCTACCAGAGCTCCTATAGAAATGTTAGATATCCCTATTTTACTGATTAAAATCTCCTAGGCATTAATGGCAATTTATCGAGTTCACCTAGGAAGGACAATACTCAAACCTAACTCATATGACCTCAGCTTCTTTATGGTTTCCCTTGTACTATTTGAAGCTATTCCTCCACTTAATCATAGTTGAATGCAATGGAAGCTTAGGGTGGGCCATTCATTTAGTAAAGTTGTTGAATGTACCAAAAACTCTCACTGCCATCGAGTCGTTTCTGACTCATAGCGGCCCCTCCTTGGGTTTCTGAGATTGTATCTCTATAGAAGTAGATCACCCAGTCTTCCTTCTGAGGAGTGCTGGTGGGTTTGAACCGCCAGCCTTCTGGTTAGCAGTCAAATGCCTTAGGCACTATGCCACCACAGTCCCTGTTGGGTGTACAGGCAGTCCCAACTTAGGATAGGGTTTCATTCCATCAGCTCTGTTGTTAGGTTGGTCCTGACTCAAGTCAAATACCTCGTTTTTTTTTTTTTTAAGTTTTCATTATTATTGCTTTTTGTTATCAATATCTTTATAAATCTCATCTTTATTTGTCTTTGGAATTGGAAACATTACATAAACTTACTGATATATTTTTATACCTGTTGGGTACTCTTGAGTCATTTCCTATACATGGCAATCCTGTGTAAAACAGAACGCAACACTGTCTGGTCCTGCACCATCTACATGATCCTTGCTATGTTTGAGTGCATCATTGCAGCCACTGTGTCATTCTATCTTGTTGAGAGTTTTCCCTTTTTTGGTGATCCACTACTTTTTCATATATGATGTCCTTCACAAGGGACTGGCCCCTCCTAATAAAATGTCCAAAGTACATGAGACAAAGTCTCACCATCCATGTTTCTAAGGAACATTCTGGCTGTGCCTCCTCCAAGACAGATACTTTGTTCTTCTGGCAAAAACCGAAACCAAACTCATTGCCATCAAATTGGATCCCACTCATAGCGAACCCTCCTTGGGTTTCCAAAGTGGTATCACTATGGAAGTAGATCACCCAATCTTCTTTCCGAAGAGTGGCTAGTGGATGAACTGCCAACCTTCTGGTTAGCAGTCAAATGCTGTAGGCACTATGCCACCAGAGCTCCTGTTCTTCTGGTAGTCCATGGTATATTCAGTATTCTTTGCTAACACCGTAATTCAAATTAATCAATTCTTTGGTCTTCCTTACTTATTGTCTGACTTTCACATGTGCATGAGGTGACTGGAAATATTATGGCTTGGGTCAGGCACACCTTAGTCCTCAAGGTAACATCTTTGCTTTTTAATATTTTAAAGAGGTCTTTTGCCACAGATTTGTCAATGCAATATGTTGTGTGATTTCTTGACTGCTGCTTCCATAGGCATAGATTGTGGATCCCAGTAAAATGAAATCCTTGACGACTTCAGTCTTTTCTCCTTTTGTCATGATGTTGCTTGTTGATCCATTTGTGTAGATTTTTGTTTTCTTTCTGTTGAAGTGGAATCCATACTGAAGGCTGTAGTCTTTGGTCTTCATCAGTAATTGCTGCAAGTCTTCATTTTCAGCAAGCAAGGTTGTATCATCTGCATATTGGTAATGAGTCTTCTTCCAGTCCTGATGCCACGCTCTTCATATAGTCCAGCTTCTCTGATTATTTACTCTGCATACAAATTGAATAAATATGGTAAAAGAATTCACACCTTTCCTGATTTTAAACCATGCAGTATCCTCTTGCTCTGTTTGAGTGACTGCCTCTTAGTCTATGTTTAGGTATCTTTTGGCATAATTAAGTGTTCTGGAATTCCCATTCCGCGTAATGTTATCCATAATATGTTGTAATCCACAAAGTCAAATGCCTTTGCATAGTTGAAAAAATATGGTATACATCTTTCTAGTATTCTCTGCTTTGCTAAGATCCATCTGATATCAGTAATGCTATTACTTGTTCTTCAGCATGTTTCTGGCTGTTCCCTATTGATGTACTACTTTAAATGTTTTTGAATTATCTTTAGAAAATTTTGCTTGCATATGATATTAATGATATTGTTTGATTATTTCCACATTCTGTTGGATCACGTTTCTTTGCAATGTGCACAGATATGGATCCCTTTCAGTCAGTTGGCCAGGTAGCTGTGTTCCAGACTTCTTAGCATAGATGAGTGAGTGCTTCCAGCTTTGCATCCATTTGTTGAAACGTCTAAATTGATATTCTGTCAATTCCTGGAGCTTTATTTTTCATCAGCGCCTTCAGTACAACTTGGACTTCTTCCTTCAATACTGTCGGTTCTTGATCATATGTTACCTCCTGAGATGGTTAAATACCAATCAATTCTTTTTGGTTATAGTGACTCTATATATTTCTTCCATCTTCTTTTGATGCTTCCTGCATCGTTCAATTTTTCACCCACAGAATCCTTTATTACTGCAACTTGAGGCTTGAATTTTTTATTCAGTTCTCGCAGCTTAAGAAATGGTGAACATATTCTTCCCTTTTGGTTTTCTTAACTCCAGGTATTTGCACATTTCATTATAGTAGTTTACTTTGTCTTCTTGAGCCACCCTTTGAAATCTGTTCAGCTCTCTTACTTCATCGTTTCTTCCATTTGCTTTAGCTAGTCTGTATTTGACAGCAAGTTTCATAGTCTCTTTGAGATCCATTTTGGTCTTTTCTTTCTTTCTTGGCTTTTTAATGACCTTTTGCTTTCTTCAAGTATGATGTCCTTGATGTCATTCCATAACCCAGTTGGTCTTTAGTTATTAGTGGTCAGTGCATCAAATCTATTGAGATGTTTTCTAAACTCAGATGTGTTTTATTCAGCGTTGTCCTTTAACTCCTTATTGTTGTTGTTATGTGCCGTTGAGTTGGACCCGACTCATGGCGACCCCTCCTTGGGTTGCCAAGGCAGTATCACTATGGAAGTAAATTGCCTAACCTTCCTTCCGAGGAGTGGCTGGTGGGTTTGAACCGCCAGCCTTCTGGTTAGCAGTCAAATGCCTTAGGCACTGTGTTACCAGAGCTCAGAGCTCAACTGCAGAGTTGCTAAAAATCTTCAATTTCTTCATCTTTGGCATTAGTGGTTGTTATGTAAATTTGAATAATAGTTATATTAACTGACCTTACTTATAGACATATGGGTATTATCCTATCACTGATAGCATTGTGTTTCATAATAGACCTTATTTTTGGACAATGAATGTGATGCTATTCCTCTTCAATTTGTTATTCCCAGCATAGTAGACCATATGATTGTTAAAATGGCCAATACCAATCCATTTCAGCTCACAAATGCCTAGAACATCAATCCTTATGTGTTTCGTTTCACTTTTGACAACTTCCAGTTTTCCTAGGTTCATGCTTTGTGCATCACATGGTCTGATTATTAATGGATGTTTGCAGTTCTTTCTTCTCATTTTGAGTCATGCTACACCAGCAAATAAAGGTTCAGAAAGCTTTACTCCATCTATGTCATTAAAGTCGACTTGACTGTGAGGAGACAGCTCTTCCATAGTTGTATTTTGAGTGCCTTCTGACCTGAGAGGCTCATCTTCTAGCACTGTATAAGACAGTGTTCTGCTACCATTCATAAGATTTTCACTGGCCAATTTTTTAAAAAAGAAGATCACCAGGTTCTTCTCCCTAGCGGATCAGTCTGGAAGCTCTGCTGAAACCTGTCCACCATGGGTGACCCTGCTGGTATTTGAAATACTGACAGCATAGTTTGCACATCACAGCAATGTGCAAGACACTACAGTTGAACAAAATGACAGATGAATGGTGGAATCTGGTTAGAGGGAACAGTAAAAGCCAAGGCCCTGAGCTTGAGTATATTTGAGGGACAGGACAAAGGCCACTAAAGTTATAGTATAGTGAGTGATAGAGATAAGTGTAGGGGAGGTCAGAAAAATAAGAGGGACCAGGTCAGGTAGGGCATTCTGTACTTTAGAAAGGAGTTAGGATTTTATTCTTCATACAGTGGGAAGCCAGCAGAGGGTTTTAAGTAGAGGAGAGAAATCTGATTTGGGCTTTATGAAGGTAAGTTATTGCTGATGGAGAATGCAAGAGGGAATGCAGTGACCAAAATGGGAACAGGGAGACTAGAAGACTTTATATCAAAGGATCTGGTTTGGAATGGGATTTACCAGTGAACATGGAATAAAATAGATGTATTTGGTATATATGTTGAGGCACTGCGCACAACACTTTGTGAAGTAGATGTAGAAAAAAAAGAGTCAAGGCTGGTGCCACAAGATATTTGGCCTGAGCTACTGAGTGGATGATCTTTTTAAATGTCCAAGTAGAGAAGACATCATTCCTTTGCTTGAAATAGCTATTCTCAAAGAGACCCCCTAGGGGTCACTGAGGACCTTTCAGGAAGTGCATGAGGTCAAAACTATTGTCATAATAATACTAAGATAGGAGCCACTGTGTCTCAGTGGTTAAAGATGGTATTTGCTTTTTTCACTGTTTTGTCATTTGCCCTGTATTGGTGAATAAAACCACTGGCATCTTAGCAGATCAATGGATCAAGGCAGTGGCACCAAACTATACTAGTAGTTACTGTATTTTTTTTACTGCCACATACTCAGTTAAAAAATAGAAAGAAAAAAGCCAGTTTCAGTTAAATCACTCAGCCCCTAAGGATACTTTTGTTAATAAAGACTTTGGATTTTATTTTACTATTGTTCAATCTCAGAATTTTAAAGGGGTTTCCATATTTTATTCAACTCACAAGTCCTTTAATTTCAAAGAACAGGAGAATAACAACAAGAATAGACTTTTTTAATATACTGTGTGAAGAAATGGGAAGTATGCATAAAGCACTTCCATATATTGATAGTCTCAAGGAAAAGCACTCGTGTCATTCGAGTCACAAACTGAAATAGCTTCTTTTTCATGGGTTGCCATTTTTACTTGAATAAACAACAGACTAACCAACAAACTGGTTTAGTCACACTTGGGTGTTTGGCAGTCATTTTCTGGAAAATGAATTGTGTGAACCTGCCATTCCTAAGAAAACAACTGACAATATTTGTTGCTAGTGATAAAATTTGAGATGTCAAGCAAAAATGTCTATCACTATGAGCTAGGCAGTACCTCAATACTCAAAGATGTTTCTGATGAGTTTGATGGTGATACTGACAAATGTGATTTTTTGATATGTAATGAAATGTATGATTATTTAGAAGATCTACATAAGTAGGTGAACCAATATCTTCTAAGTAACCAACAAATCATTTGTCAGAGTGCACATATAAAACAACACATACAAAGAAACTTAAAAATATCTAATAACAATTAAACCGTACATAAATTGTGCTAATCATATGAATTATTCTTACATTGTGGGTTATCTGAATTAATTTTCTTTTCCATTTCAGTTTTGGTATATTTGCTGCACTCCTTCTAGCCAACATTTTCCCAGCAATTTACAACATTCATTTTGTACAGATCCCATCTAAGGTTATGGGGAGAAGATAGTTTTAAAATCCATTAATTAGGATTCTGTTTGTTTGTTCATCAGGAAGTATAGTCATAATTATTTCAGCTAATGTTATTCCTTGCCATAAGATGCATATCATGTTTTAAATTTAAATATACCTTAAGGAAATTCAAACACATTGTCATTTACTCAAGATTATTAATGGCTTTAAGGAAGGGAGATGAAAAGTTGACATTTGTGTAAATGAAAATTTTCTGTCTCGGTCATAGGTATAAGAAACCAGTCGATTATTCACAGTTTGAAGACTCTGACAGTGATGGTAAGTGGAGCCATCTTGCTTTAAAGATTTGGAAATTTGTTTCCTCAGAATTTATATGGTGGTGGTGATGGTGGTTGCTGTTTGAGTCCATTCTGATGACTCATGGTGACCCCATCTGGGCAGAGTAGAACTGTTCTATAAGGTTTTCAAGGTTCTGACCTTTAAGAATCAGATCACAAGGCCTGTCACTGAAGTGCCTCTGGGTGGATTCAAACCACTGAGCTTTTGTTTAACGATCAAGTACTTAACCATTTGTGCCACCTAAGGACTCCTTGCATTTAGCATAGGTCTGGAAAAATAATTTTTTATGAACTTGTCATAATTATGCTGATAATATACTGATAAAGAACTATGTAGGTAAGTGATAAATGAACAGTGCCCGGTGAAAGTGCCTCTTTAGATCTAAACTATTCTAGATCCATGTTTCTCAAAGTTGTCTCCTTCTACCTCAAGGACATCATACATAAAGAAGGCAAAACTAAAAACAAAACCACTCCTATAGAGTCAATTCCAATTCATAATGACCCTATAGGACAGAGTAGAACTGCCACATAAGGTTTCTAAGGCTGTAAGTCTTTATGGAAGCAGACTGCCTCATCTCTCTCCAGTGGAGCAACTGGTGATATCCAACCATGACCTTTCAGTTGGCAGCCCAGTGCTTTAACCACAGTACCACCAGAGCTCCAGAAGAAAGCAAAAGGTCATTAAAAAGATAGGAAAGAAAGAAAAGACCAAAATGGGTATCAGAAGAGACTCTGAAACTTGCTCCTGAATGGAGAGTAGCTAAAACAAATGGAAGAAATGATAATATAAAAGAGCTGAACAAAAGATTTCAAACAAAGTATTATATGAAATGTACAAAGAAATGGAGTTAGAAAATCAAAAGGGAAGAATGTGATTGGTGTTTCTTAAGCTAAAAGAACTGAGGAAAAAATTCAAACCTTGAGTTGCAGTATTGAATGATTCTATGGTCAAAATATTGAAGGATGCAGGAAACACCAGAAGAAGATGAAAGGAATATACAGAGTCACTATACCAAATAGAATTGGTTGACATTCAACCATTCTAGGAGGTAGCATGTGACCAAGAACCAAGGTATTGAAGGAAGAAGTCCAAAGTACACGGAAGGAATTGGCATAAAACAAGACTCTTAAGAATTCACAGAATACCAAGAGAGATATTTCAACAAATGGATGCAACACTGGAAGCGTTCACTTACCTACACTAAGAAATTTAGAAGACAGCTTCTTGCCTGACCAACTGGAAGAAACCATATTTGTGCCTATTCCAAAGAAAGGTCATCTAATAGAATGCGAAAATTATCAAATAATTTCATTAATGTCACACACAAGTGAAACTTTGCTGAAAATAATTCAAAAATAGGGCTGCTATGAATTGGAGCTGACTTGAAGGCACCTAAAAACAACCCCTATCTCTTCACACAAGAAGGTAAATACTGTCTTTGAAACACAAATGTGTTACAGAATATAATGTAAAATTCCCATTAATTATAAAATAAAACAAGACTTTGAAGAAAGATTAGACTTAAGTTATACCATATTGGGTTATATGTTTACTTGTCTCTGCTATTAAGGCAAATAAATTTAATCAAAATATTTGAGAAACTTTATGTGAAATTATGTTATACCTCAAAGTAGGTTGTTTTGTTGTTGTTGTTTTGTTTTTCTTTCTCAGACCATCAGAGCTTTGTAGAAATTAAATATTTATTAATTGGTAGATTCGAAGAAACCTGTTTTTTGTCTTGGTCCCAACCTTAAATGTGTCAAAAACTTGGGAGAAAATATTATAGAATATAACTTACATCTTTTTGTGACTGTCACCAAATATTTATAAATTGTCAGTTATATTCTGGACACTGTGGGAGGAGAAAGGGAATATAAAAGTTACTGAATTCCCACATGGAGAGCATAAGAGAAACAACATATGTGGTAGAATTCTTGCCTTCCAATCAGGAGACCAGGTTTTTTTTTGTGTGTGTGATTTGGGTGAAAATTTACAGAGCAAATTCACGTTCCATACAGCAGTTCACATACACTTTGTCTCATGACATTGACTACAATTTACCACAATGCAACAGCTCCCTTCCCACTTCCTCCTGATAGTTACTTCTTCCCTGTGTCCATTCCTCCATGCACTCCTGCCCCCTGAGCTGTCTCCCTGTGTATAAACAGCCCTTCTTTCTCCCATGATTGTTCTCTCCAAAGAGTGTATCTACCTCAGGTAAATGTTCAACTCATATGCCTGTCTTTTGTTTGGCTGGAAGCCACAGGTGTGGGTTCAATTCCAGACCTGAAGGGCAGGTAGGGGCCATAGTCTCAGTGGTTCTACCAGGCTCTATTGGACCAGCAAAGCTGGTCACCCCTTTTTCTTTTTTCCAAATGATTATGTGTTTTGTTCCACATTGTTTTCCCTCTCTATCCAGGATCTCCTACACAGATCCCCCTCTGAATGGTTGACAGTGGTAGCTGGGCACCATCTAGTTCTTCTGGTCTCATAGCATGTAACCTGCAGATTGCATGGTGTACCAGTCACTAGGACTAATTGTTTCCATGAATCTTTGGTTTTCTTCATTCTTCTTTGCTTTGGACAAGGAGAGACCCATCATTGCATCTAGATGGCTGCTTGCAAGCTTTTAAGATCGCAGTCGCTACTCACCAAAGTAGGAGGTGGAACAATGTTTTGTGTAGTATGTTATGCAAATTGATCTTGATGTCCACTGTGACTATGGTCCTGAGCCCACATGTTCACCTACTTGGTCCCTCTGGGTAGCAGGCTGTGACCAAGAAGTAACTACAACCTTGTCCCTTGTCAGCTCTACTGTACACCTGGGAATTCAGATCATACAAATAAACTTATAGGTCCACTGTCTGCCAACCCTATACATGGTCTTGGGTATACTCCCCGCTTCATAGATATACCTACTAGTTCAGCTTGTCCACCCACCTATCCACCTGTATACTCATGTTTGCCTTCACTGACAACGTAGTGCTATATGTGCAAAAGGGTTCATCTTTGTTGTCTGTACCTCCCATGTACCTCTCTATGTCATTCTCTTCCTCAGTGCCACCGTGTTGATCACTCACATTTGGTACATTGCCCTTAGGAGACCAAGTTTGATTTCTACCTGATGTACCTTGTGTGCAGCCCCACTCATCAGTGGAAGCTTATGTGTTGTTCTGATGCTGAATAAGTATCAGCAGAGCTTCCAAGCTAAGATGGACTAGGCAAAAAGGCCTGGTGATCTTTCAGAAATCAGCCAATGAAAATTCTTTTATCACAACTATCCTATCTGCAGCTGATCATGGAAATGGCCCAGGGCCAGCCAACATTTTATTTTTTTGTGCATGGAAGCACTATGAATTGAGACTGACTCAACAGCAGCTTACAACAGCAACAACAAATTAATGTGATTAACACTACATATATCATGAAAGTATACATACATGTATCATACATGTATTTAGAAGGCACAGCAGCAGTTTTAATGTTGTGAAGGTGACCAGGAAAATGACATCATTTCTGAGAACTGGTAGGATAGAAAATCCTGTGAAAAGCAGTAATGGACTGCAGAAGAACATCCCTTTGTCAAAAATTAAAAAGTTACATTGATAGGATCATAGGAAGGCAATGTGATAATAGATAGAGAATATACTACCGATGTAAAAATCCTCCAATAGGAGCTTTTTTCTCTCCTCTGTATTCTGATGCTTCTTACTTTCTTTATCTTGATTAATGTATCAGGAACAGGTAGCATAGTGCCTAAGGCACTTGACTGCTAACCAGAAGGCTGGCGGTTCAAACCCACCAGCCACTCCTCGGAAGGAAGGTTGGGCAATCTTACTTCCGTAGTGATACCGCCTCGGAAACCCAAGGAGGGGTCGCTAAGAGTCGGGGCTTACTCGACAGCACATAACAACAACAATGGGCCCATGAAAGAAGACAGGATGTGAGGTTTTATAAAAATAATTTCCTACCAATTTGCAACATGATAAAATTCTCAAGGGAGTTTTTAACCATCTTTCTAGTGGTATTACAGATTTTTGCCCCTTTTTTCCTTAACACTTATATACTAGCTTAATTGCTTTTGTAGTTTTTAGTGAGTTAGTGATGGATTTATTGATAGTTCAAAAAATAAAGACCACTTAACAAAAAGAGAAATTGAAAAATCATGAGTGAAAATAGAGAAAAACAAAATACTAACAAAAATTTTTTAATTGTGGAAATTAAAAAAATTTTCTTAATGTTAAAACTTCAGAAATATACAATGTAATGAATATCAACTGCTAAGAAAATAATTTTCTTTTTTTATTCAGGAAAAGCAATTTCATGTGTTCTTTCATTTTAATTCATATGTAAATAGGTGACTTTGTTTCAACTGCACCTTTGAACAAGAAATCTAGAACAGACCCAAAGGAGTTAAAACAAAAAAACCCAGAACCTAAATTGAAGAATCTCCAAAAAGAAGACATTCCTCTGGAAGAGAAAACCCCTAAAAAAAGGTAAGAGATAAGAGATACATGAAATATACAACATTAGATATATTCATTTAGAACAGATACTGATACTTTATTAAATTGTAGTAGACTCTTTGAGGGCATCTTTAGTGTCCCAACTAGTATAGTGCCTTTACACAGTAAGTACTTAGGTTGGGAGAACACACACGCGTGTGTGTGTATGCACACACTTCAATTTAATATGGTCCCTGGGTGGAGTTCTGGTGGTACAGTGCCTAAGACATTTGATTGCTAACCAGAAAGTTGGTGGTTCAAACCCACCACCTGTTTGGTGGAAGAAAGATGGAACAATCTACTTCCATAAAGATTTACCACCTCAAAAACCCAATGGGGATCACTATGAGTCAGACTTAACTCGATGGCAGTGAGTTTTCTTAGGTGCTCTGGGTGGCTCAAATGGTTTGCACTCAACTGCTAACCTGAGGTAGGTGGTTCAAACCCACCCAGTAGTGCCTCAGAAGAAAAGCTTGGCAATATGCTTTCATAATGGTTACAGCCAGGAAAATCCTTTAGAGCAGTTCTAACTCTGGAACATGCGGGGTTACCATGAGTTGGAATCAACTTGACAGCAATGGAGTTTGGATTTGGTTATAATAGCTGTTTAAAGGGAGTAGGACAGAGAAGAAAGTGGTGGAAGTGGAAGTGATGTTTGAACCAAGTTTTTTATTTTGTTTTATTTTTTTTTGTGTGAGCTCATAGAGATCTCTTGTATAGAACATAATCATAGTAGTTTCAAATGCAGTATTGCTTCAGATCTGAGACTTCAATTGCCTATAGTCCAAGCTTTGTGGTAAGTCAGCAGTGGAAAAACTCACGATATCCAGATAATTGAACCAATCTGAAACCAATCTAAAAAATTATAGTCATTGGGTTGAAAGGGATTTTAGAAGTTCATCTGGTCTTTCCTTTTCTCTAACTGGTATCTGTAACCCTTACTTATAAACTCAGTTGTTTTTGGCCTGTTGTTGAACTCTGTTCAGAGTAAATTTTTTTTTTTTTAACCTTTCCCTTCACCTAAGTTAATATGTGTCTACTCTCTAGTTAGTGGTTTACCCACCATTCCCCACCCACCCCTGGTAATCGTCAAAGAATATATCTTTCTTTTTTTTTTTCTGTGAAACCTTTTTCTTGACGTTTTACAATAGTGCTCTCATAATATTTGTCCTTTTGTGATTGACTAATTTCACTCCCCATTTACATTTACCATTTACAACAAGTTCACCCATGTTATGAGATGTTTTGCAGATTCCTCATTGTTACTTAACGTTGTGTAATATTCTATTGTGCATATGTATCATAGTTTATTGATGCATTCCTCAGTTGATGGGCATTTAGGTTGTTTCCATCTTTTTGCTATTGTGAATCGTGCTATGATGAACATGAATGTGCATATATCTGTATGTGTCACGGTTCTTATTTCTGTAGGATATGCACCTAGTAATGGGATTGCTGGATCATGTGGTATTTCTATTTCCAACTTTTTAAGGAAGTGCCATAATTGTTTTCCACAGTGGTTGAAGCATTTTACAGTCCGTCCCCCATCATCCGTCCCCCACCCCCCCGCCGTGTATGAGGGTTCTACTCTCTTCACACCCTCACCATCATTTGTTGTTTTCTGTATTTTGCTTTAAGTGCTGGGGTGAGATGATATTTCATTGTTTTGATTTGCATCTAATGGTTAGTGATCTCAAGCATTTCTTCATGTCTTTATTAGCTGTCTTCTTTGGTGAAGTGTTTTTTTCATGTCGTCTGCCTATTTTATTAATTTATCTTTTTATTGCTAAGTTGTTGAAGTTTTCTATAAATTTTAGAGATTAGCCCCTTGTCCAATATGTCATTGCCAAAAATTTTTCTCCAGTCTGTGGGTTTTCTGTTTACTCTTTGGTGAAATCTTTTGACATGCGTAAGTGTCTAGTTCTTGGGAGGCCCCACCATCTATTTTTGATGTCGGTGCATTTTTAGTTATATTCGATAGTATATTTATGCCCTGACTTAGGGGCTCTAAGTTTGACCCTGTGTTTCTTTGATGGTATTTATGGTTTAGGTTTTATGTTCAAATCTTTGATCCAACTTAAGTTTGTTTTTGTGTATGGTGTGAGAAATGGGTCCTGTTTCATTTTCTTGCAAATAGATACCCAGTTTTGCGAGCAAAACTTTTAAATTAAAGAGACTATCTCTTCCCCTTTTAATGAGTTTGGCCCTTTGTCAAAGGTCAGCTGTCTATTGGTGGGTGGATTTACCTCTGGGTTCTCAATTCTATTCCATTGGTCTATGTGTCTGTCATTGTTCCAGTACCAGACTGCTTTAACTACCATGGCTGTATAGTTGGTTTTGAGTTTGGGAAATATGAGACCTCCTACTTTGTTATTCTTCTTTAGTAGTTCTTTACTTATCTGGGGGTCTCTTTACTTACATAAATGTAGTGGTTAGGTTTTTCCATCTCTTTAAAGAAAGGTGATGGAATCTGTATCGGGATTGATGGCATTTTATCTGTAGATCACTCTGGGTAGTATTGACATTTTCACAATGTTAAGTCTTCCCATCCATGAGCATGGTATAGTCTTTCATATATGTAAGTCTCGTTTGGTTTCTTTTAATAATGTTGTGTAGTTTTCCTTGTGTAGGTTTTGTGTCTTTGGTTAGATTTATCCTAAGGACTTCATCTTTTGGTGGTTATTGTAAATGGTATTGCTTTCCTGAGTGTAATGGAATCAAACTAATTTTTGTATTGATCTTGTACCCTGCCACTTTGCTGAAACTGTCAATTCTAATAATTTTCTTACTGAGTCTATAGAGTTTTTCTATGTGTAAAATGATATCATCTGCAAATAGAGATAGTTTTACTTCTTCAGCAAGTACAAAGGTACTTTCTTGATCTGCTGTTTCAGATCTGTTATGCTGGATGTACACTTTAGGAGTCTTACTATCCAAAGTCAATCAATGGTGATGATTATAATTTAAAACCATTTTTGTGAAGTTAGAGCAACTTTTAAATAGTAATTCATGAAAATCCCAAACTTTCCTCTTCAGTTGAAATGGATATATTAAAAATATTATTTATGTGTCTATTTTAGGATGGCGTTAGATGACAAGCTCTACCAAAGAGACTTAGAAGTTGCACTAGCTTTATCAGTGAAAGAAACTCCAACAGTCACCATTGCTGTGCCCGAGTCAGAGTCGCAAGATAAAAGTAACTTTATTTTCTCTATTTTTATCTTTAACACCTACTTAATGATTTTGTAACCATTTCTGTCCATGAGTCTTCACAGAAGAAAGAAATTTGAATACTTTGGGCTATTAATAGAATAATTAGCAAAGGATACTATTGGATTAAAATGTTTATTCAGTTGCATAAATCACATACATACACATATATTATGTTTAACATCAAAAGTAAGCTAGAGGAGGTATACTATGAGCCTGGGTGTTCAAATTGTATTTTGGTACACTGAATATTTACTATCTGTATCACATGAATTGATCTGCATATCCTAACAATCCAAATCATTTCTCACCAAATAAGTTGTACATAATTTAATGATGGTAATTTTTATTTTTGAAAGTTAAAGGTATGAATTTGGTTAGCATTCTCAGTAGATATAAGAGATTTATGACTCTGGATGTCTCTGTGAGTTCTCCTTTGATTTTTCTGGTGACGGCGCAGCAGATGACAATATTGACTGTATGGAGAGACACAAATTATTCCTGGAAAAGACAAACTGCTAAAATGTTTTTTGGACTAAGTTGTTTTGAGTTAAATTCTTTTATGCTGGGGGATATTTTAGCTTACTGTGTTATTTAGGTATAGGTTTTTATTTTGTTTTCTTTTAATCAGTATTGCCTCTTAGTTGAAAATAAATGAGGCAGATCAGGGAGCCCTTTAGTAATCAGGAATCAGTTTACAAAGAGAATTGTGATGTATTCTATCTACTGTTGAAAAAATGAAATTCATCTCCATCACATAAGACATTATAGAATATATAGCAGAATTTTTTGGATGTATCACTTCTCATAGAATAATATATTTTATAACATTGGGATTTAATAATACCAATTATCCTGACTAGAGCACCTCTTGAAATACTTGAGATTGTTTTAAGAGTAATACAATGATTGGTGAGTGCTTATGTTAGCAAAAACATGGATTTGCCTGCACAGTAATAATAGCTGAAGTATTGACTGTGTGCCAGGCACTATAATAAGTAATTTCCGTGTATGAGCTTATTTTATTTCTCACAATAACCTTATCAGACAGTATTTTTATCTTTATATTTTAAATGAGGAAATGAAGTCTTTGAGAGGTTAAGCAACTTGCCAATGATCACATAGCCAGTGTAAGTGCATCTGAATTTAAAACTATGTCTGTTTGGTGAGTGGTGACTGGGATCTTAAAAGCTTGCAAGCAGCCATCTAGATGCAATGATGGGTCTCTCCTTGTCCAGAGCAAAGAAAAATGAAGAAAACCAAAGACACATGGAAACAATTAGTCCAAGCAACTGGTATACCACACAATTCTTGACCTATACAACTATGAGACCAGAAGAACTAGATGGTGCCCAGCTACCATTGTCAGCCACATGGAGAGGGATCTATGTAGGAGATCTGGATAGAGTGGGAGAACAATGTGGAACAAAACTCAAAATCATTAAAAAAAAAAAAAAAGAGAGAGAGACCAAGTTTGCTGGTCTAATAGAGCCTGATGGAACCACTGAGACTATGGCCTCTAGCGGCCCTTCAGGTCTGTAATTGAACCCACCCCCCTGGCTTCCAGCCAAACAAAAGACAGGCATATGAGATGAACATTTACATTAGGTAGATATGCTCCGTGGAAAGAATAATGATGGGAGAATAGAAGGGCTGTGTATGCACAGAGATACAGCTCGGGCAGGGGCACATGGAGGGAAGGGCAAAGGGAAGAGGTAAATATGGGGAGGAAGTAGGAGGGAAGCTGTTGTGTTGGGGTAAATTGTAGTCAGTGTCATGAGACAAAGTGTATGTGAGCTGCTCTATGGAAAGTGAATTTGTTCTGTAAACTTTCACCCAAATCACAATTTAGAAAAAAAAAATTAGTCTGTTTGATTTCAGAGCTCAACTGTATGCTAGCCTCTTCAGGTAAAATCACTGTGCAGCTTGAGTTTAGAGCATTGATCTGTATCTATATACTATTAGATTTTAGTGCTAATCTTTCCTGTTTTTAGACATGATTTGATTAAAGTGCTTCTAAATTTTCTTTCTTATTCCTCGCATTTAGGCATCAGAAAATATGACAATAGTGAAACAGAAGCAATGGCTAAGTCTCCTCACATCTCCAATTGTAGTGTTGCCAGTGATTATTTAGGTAAGTTTTTGATATTAATTATTTATTTTTTAAAAACTTTTCTTTTAATTCCTGAACTCTTGCGAGAACCAAGGTCTTTAAATATGTTAAGATTCTCTTTACCTCTTGACCTTTGTTTCCTTTTGTTTTAGCTTTTAGTTTATTCTCTTGCTGTAGACCCACTTCATTCCCTCCTTGTGACTACCCATGGCTTCTAGTGTACAACACTTGGTCACTGAAAAAAGGGACTGTTTCTTCCCAGCTCCAATTTGAAAATTCTTGGGAAAAGACTGTCTCAGTTTGGGTCTCAGACCTATCCTTAAACCAAACTTGTGGGGGGAGCAATGTTCTAATATTGACCCAGATTGAGTCATGAGGGTGGTAATTTAGACTTACTACCAGAAGCAGGGGAAGAATGGAGCTAGGCAGGTAAGTACAGTAGATGTAATATGCAATGCTATAAATATGACATGTCACAGGACACTTTTTCTTATTTTTATGCCTCTCCTGAAGATTTGGATAAGATTACTGAGGAGGATTTTCATGATGTTCAAGGGAAAAGAAAAGCAGCATCTAAAGCTGTAATACAACAAAGGAAGATTCTTTTGGAAGGCAGTGATGGTGATAGTGTCAATAACTCCGAATCAGACCTTGAAACTAGTAAGTTAGATTCTACTTCAAAATTAATTCTATGGTAATTCAGTAAAAGTTCTTTGTGGTCACTAATGTATGTAAAGCATTATGCTAAAAATGTAGGATATGCAAACTTGAAGAACACACAGAACAATAAAATTCAGACATGGCATTTAGGGAAAAAGCTTTGTCTAAGAGGTGATCTATAAGCCATGCTTTGAAAAAACTGAGTAGCATTTTGAAAAACTAAAGGGGTGAAATGGCATCCCTGGCTGGTGGAAAGCCATAGATGACGGAATAGGCAAGTGTACGTACAAACTTTCAGTGAAGCTTGCAGGGAAGAATGTTTTAGAAAGGGCTAAAGAGACAGGCTGGCACTGAGTCACGGAGGGTCTTAGACCTATTGTGGGAAGTGTAGACTTTTTTGATATAGATAGTAGGAATTCATGAAATATTTTTGAGGTAGAAGTAAGGTATACTCCTTAGAACAATCAACCAAGGGAGATTAGAAGGGCAGTGTTTGCACAGAGAGATAGTTCAGAGGGCAGGAATGCATCGGAAAGAAGGTCACAGGGAAAAGGTAGCCACAGGGAGGAGATGGGAAGAGACCTGTTACATTGTGGAGATTGTAGTCAATGTCATGAAACAAAATGTGTATGAACTATTGAATGGAAAATGAATTTACTCTGTAAAATTTCACCAAATCACAATTGGAAAAAAAAAACCACCCTATATTATTATTACAGGAGCTCTGGTGGCAGTGCCTAAGGCATTTGACTGCTAACCAGAAGCCTGGTGGGTCAAACCCATCGGCCACTCCTTGGAAGGAAGGTTGGGCAATCTACTTCTGTAGTGATGCTGCTTCCAAAACCCAAGGAGGGGTTGCTATGAGTTGGATCCGACTCAACGGCAGTGCGTTTTGCGTTATATTATTATTACAGTGATTGTCAGACTTATTCAGAAAACAGGCAACAGGAAATCATAGTGACCTTGACAAAGCATCAATATATATTATTAAAAATTAAACTTAATAAATGTATAAATTTATGCTAAATCAGATAATATATTTTGGTAGATGTTAGCATGTAATAGGCAAACAATAACAGATTCATTCATCAAAATTTTTATAACATATATTCCAGTGCCCGTTATGTGCATAAGGAGCCCTGGTGGTGCAGTGACTAAGCACTCAGCTGGTAACTGAAAGTTTGGTGTTTCTAACTCACCAGCTGCTCCAGGGAAGAAAGTTGGGGCAGTTGGCTTCTATAAAAATTGCAGCTTCGCAAACCCTATGAGGCAGTCCTACTCTGACCTATAGGGTCACTATGAGTTGGAATCAATTTGACAGCAATGAGTTTGGTTTTGGCTTATGTGCATTATATTTTAGACATACAACAGTGAACAGAACAAAACAAAAGCTTCTGCTTTTATGGAACTTAAGTTCTAGACAATAAACAAATACATAGTAAGTGTCAAGTGCTATGAAGAAGAGGAAAGCAGAATAGGGCATAAGAGAATGAGAAGTTGGTGTAGGTGTTGTTTTAGATAAGGTGATCAGGGAAGACTTCTCTGAGGCAACATTTGAGGATGGAATCCATGTGGAGATTTGGACAAAGGGTGTTCTATGAAGAGAGAACAGCAAATACAAGGTCCTAAGGCAGGAATAGGAGCTCTGGTGGTGTAGTGCCTAAGGCATCTGACTCCTAATCAGAAGGCTGACAGTTCAAACCCAACAGCTACTCCTTAGAAGGAAGGTTGGGCAATCTACTTCCGTAGTGATACCACCTTGGAAACCCAAGGAGGAGTTGCTATGAGTTGAATCCTACTCGACGGCAGCGAGTTTGGTTTTTTAGTTAAGGCACGAATGTGCTTTGTGTATTAAGGAATAGCAAAGCTGTTGTGCTTAGACCTGAAAGAGGATGAGGAAACTGATAGGAGATGAGATTTAGAGAAGAAGCCACATCAAGTAGGACCTAGTAAGCAACGGGAAGTATTTGGAGAGGACTATGATTTGAATTAAAAATTTAAAGGATTACTAAAACTACTAAGTTGAGAATAGACTATAAGGGGAGCAAGGGCAAAAGTATTAATACCAGTTAAGAGACCAGCTAGTGCTATAGATGAGAGGTGTCGATGGCTTAGAGCAGAGTT